TGATCAAAAACAGGAAAACTGATACTTCTACCTGAAAGCTTTATTTTGTGAGTTGCTAACCGGACATCTTGGTATACCTCAGTGATGTCGTTTGACGCACTTCGTAAACGAACATCACGAATGCCAGGTCCGTGCGATCATAAAGATGGCTCTAACGCGGACGTAGAACAGTTTCCGAAATGGTTCAACATCATTCCGATTCATATCCGATTGAAGTATTGTCGTCTTACGGAAAGTTGGTTACAGTAATGAAAATGATTAATGCTGAGCCACATAAAGTAGGGGCTTTGCTTTTTTCTGCAGTGCATTCCTCTTTTTGTTGATTACTGATGAGTAGTCGAGGATTTGGTTAATTTCAAGTTGAACATCACTCACATTTGATCGCAGCCTTCGCATTCAGATAGACTTTCCAGCCAGCCTCTTTCGAAACGATTTTGATCTGTTTCGGAAGTCCTAGTCGCGGGGTTATCGGTTTGAGTTAACAAGATAATTGCTGTGCCTCCTCTTTAGGTGACAGGGCAATCTGAGCATTACTCACAAACGAAAGTGGTTGAGCGTTCACATATGATAATTCGGTCGTGCCTAATGTGAGGTCAATGGCGCAGTGGTCAACACGGTTGCCTCATGAAAGCGTGGCCGGAGTTCTAGTCCCGGCAGTGGCAAGGATATGCACTACTGACGAGCTCTAATGAGAGCGAAACTCGAGTCTAGTGCTTCTTTTCGAAAGAGGTTGGCTGGAAAGTCTATCTGAATGCGAAGGCTGCGATCAAATGTGAGTGATGTTCAACTTGAAACCTATTGTTTGTGGTATTGAAATTGTATCTAAAAATATCGTTATTGAGTGAAATTGAACTTAAAGGCAACTGTTACCTAACGGGTGTCAATATTCAAAGACGTTAGAAGCAATCCTACCATAGTATCTATGATCCACCCAGAGTTAATCGCATTTTTAAATCACACTCTTAATTGTCGTTTTCCAGCCCACGCATTTCCAGTGAAAGTTTGGATTTTGTCTGTTTCTTAATTATTGGCTTTACCTAGTTACTATTAACGATAGTTCATCTAAATTGTCTGACCGGGTTACGGGTAAGCTTATTCCAACCTTGGCCCTTGTGAAACTGTACACATGAGTTTTACCTAAGTAACGACATGACAGTATGTTGGATACTACACTCATTAAAATGGGGCCTCCGGTGTGAATGCAGTGAAATGTATGATTCAACATCAAATATGTTTGAACGTGTAGATATCAAATGCGAATTTTTGGACGGGTTTCCGATCCAATACTCACTGAAATTTGTATTTTTTAGTGAATAGAAACGATCTGTATGTCATCCTGTTTTGTCTCATTTTCACTGTTTACTTAGACAATTCTGATTTTACATTGAGCTAACACCCGTTTGATGTTGAATTCAAACGCAGTGACCAATTTTTCAGCATTTTTACTTGACAACAAAACAGCCGAGAAAATTCTGTTCCTGGGACAGCCAGATCGTCCCTGCAGTGACCACATCAACTACAGACACAAGGAAAGTCCCTTTAGTGTCAAAATGATTATCACCAGGAGATGCTCGTGATTTTTTTCCCTATCGAATGCTAAAATAGATGTTAACGACTATGCGGTGCTTTATTTAAGAATGCTTCACGGGTCAAAACACATCTGGTCAAAACCACGCGAAGTTTAGTCATCCCCCTTAAATTGAACACCTATATCACACTATACGTTGTCACATGGCTGGTGAGAACATAATAGAATAGTAATTGACTTTATGTTAAGATTCTAAATCTGGTGGTCACTCATTACACATATGTCCCAATGTGGGTACTGTTTAGATTGGAGTGGAGTTTTCTTATCTGCAGACCGCAACCAGCTTACTAGTGGCAGATGAATTCAATTATTTGTCTTACAACTATGAATTTATTCCATTTTTCACTCGCATTTTTGCCGAGTGTTTTTTTTTGTTTTCGTTGTTTACATTACTCTTTACATCCCTCTGTGTACATACTGTTTGTAGGACTGTGGTAAAGTATTGTCTGGATCTACGTTTCATGAAATTGACGGCTTTCCTTACTGTGACTCACATTACTACACTCGGCGTGGCCTACTTTGCATAGCTTGCTCCAAGCCAATCACAGGTCGCTGTGTGAATGCCCTTGGGCGAAGGTATCATCCAGAGCATTTCACTTGTGCTTACTGTCTACAGCCATTACAAACAGGCACGTTCAAGGAACACTCGAACAAACCTTATTGCCACCAATGTTTCGGGCAGTTGTTCGGATAGATGGCTTATGTGCAAATTTCAGTGCATTCGAGTGTACACTACAATAAACCAGCTGTTCTTTTACCGTCTGATACAGTTTGTGGTGACTATGTGCGTGCACAATCAAACGTCGCAGATTATTTTAAAGCTCCGGGACATTTCGCATTATTATGTACAGCACCGACCTGTTTACGAGTAAACTGAATGTGCTTTTCAAAACTGTTGGTCACATTGATCAATCTGCAACAGAACCAGTTTTCCTTGTCTTCGCATCTGCTTTATTGGTGATTTTTATACATTTTTTTGCTTTTATCCTGTTCCATTATCTATGGAAAGTACGGATTTAGCTTTCTGTAAGCTTTTTCAAAATCAACCCTCATGTTCATGTTTTTCTATGGATGGTATAAACCTGATATATGCTAAACTGAAGCGTTATCCTCTAGCGATGCTCAGTCTCATGTTAACTAACGTTCATAGTTCACAAGCAGAAGTGCTGGACGGTTCAGATACAGTAAATCTGTCCTGTTTAATGTGAGGTCAGTGACGCAATGGTCAATACGGTTGCTTCGTCAAAGCACGATCGAGGTTCACATCCCCCTCATGACAAGGATGTGCACTGCTGATGAGTCCTCACAGTTATAAAACTCAGACGTAATTAATATTTTCAGGGCTCCTACAATGCACATACATAGAAGCTTGCTAGCAAAATAGGCCAGCGGTAATGCGTGATTGCAGCCAGTATCTCTAAAGATATCGCGATCCTGGGTTACTACAAGTACACAC